TCGCGGGGGGAGAGGGGGAGAGCCGCGGGTCAGCGGTGCGGCGTGTGCCCCCCGTCCCGGGGCCCAGGTACGAGCCACGCCGCAGCGAAGACCGCACGTGCACGGTGCAGTCGGTCTGTGCCAGGCTGGTTAGGAAGGCTTAGAAGCAGTACAAGGAGCAGCCTGCTGGTCCAGGCTAACCATTACTGGGGAAAACTCATCAATTTCTTCCTCTTTTATGCCACAAGGGTAATGGAGATAACAGGAACATGCCTTCCTCGGTGTTAGCACACGCTCACAAGAGCGTGGCTTTGCTCCCCAGGGGAAGCGGGCAGAAGGCGGGTTTCGCAGCACAGCTGCTTTCTGGAGGTCCTGGATGCCGGAGCACGGTGCTCAGCACTACCAGCCCCAGCCGCGCACCCGGGGGGATACCTTGCGTCCTGAAGGTCTTGCCGCAGAGGTGGCACTGGAAAGGCTTCTCGCCAGTGTGCGTGCGCAGGTGCATGTTGAGGTTGGCTTTCTGCGTGAAGGCATGGTGGCAGAATTCGCAAACGTAGGGCCGCTCGTTTCTGCGGGCAGGAGAAACGTTACCTTCATCTCTGCCTTTGCCAGCTTCAGCCCCTTAGATTAACTGCTGCTCCTCACCCAAAGTTCTTGTGATTAAATCCTACTTCAACCCTTCTCAAACTAAAGTATTTTGGAGTCCTACAAATGCTGTTCTGCAGCCACGGGCTCCCGAGCTGGAGCCTCCCATCCCTGGGCATTATAACCAGCCCAGGAATCAGAATGCTAAGGATGAGCGTGGCAGGCTGCCATGTGCTTGCCACTTCAAGAACACGAATTAGCTAGGCTGATGAGCCTCGCTTATCACCTGCATTACTATAGCACTTCTTCCGAGTGTGTGACCAACAGTCTGCACTTCCTTTGGAGGAGAGAAAAGCAGAATGCCAGCTGGCCCCTCATTGGATTTCTGCCAGAAGTTTCAGCCCAGCACCTCCGGCAACGGGAGTGCTTGCTGCCAACTCCTCTCCCCAGCACCACTCAGCCGGGCCCTCCGGGGAGGAAGCGCAGCCAGGAGAACCAGAGTGACAGATGGGAGGACACAGGTCACGTCATACCTGTGCTTGGCCTTGATGTGCATCTGCAGGCCGTTGCGACTCGAGGCTCTGTGCCCACACTCCTCGCAGACAAACAGCTTCTCTCCCCGGTGCTTGAAGGCCTCGTGCAGGCGCAGCTCTGTCCGAGACAGAAAGCACTTGGAGCAGGTTGAGCACTGCAAGGCCACAGGAGAGCGCAGCGTTAGGCAGCTCGCCCGGGCACAGTTCGCAATGTATACACATAACAGATTGACTCGCCGCCCAAGACCCGTCCCTCCGCCTGCCGCTGCTGCTTTGGGGCCCCCACTGTGGCCAGCTGCGGCAGCACCCCCAGTTCCAACATGCCTAATGAGATGAGACAGCCTGACAAAAGCAAAATGCTGGTCAGTACTTGGGTCTAACGGCCAAAAAAACCTGTTTCCAGCAGCTCTGTAACTCTCTGCCTCACTGAACAGAACCAGACAGGACAATGGGTGCCGCTGTCTAGGCCAGGCCTGAGCACAGGATAATTCCCTCTCAAAACCCCACTGCTGCCTGCTCCCCTTACCGCGTGGGGCTTTGGCGCGCCGTGCAGCTTTATCATGTGGCTCTGCAGGTCCTTTTTCTGCATGAACTGCTGGGCACAGGAGGAACACTGGAAGACAGGAGAGGAGGGTCAGCTTCCAGCCGCCCCCCTAACAGCGATTTTGGCGCGTGGAGAGGACCGGCGGCGCGCCAGTGCACCGGGCAGGGGAGCACTGTTCTGACATGGAACACAAATCCCTGGTAAGGCCGCAGAAAGCACCTGGTTTTGGTGCCTCCCTAGAGCACGTTCTGGCTCAGAGATGGGGAACGACGCTCAGCTGCCACAGACCAGGGAAGGGAGCCGGCATGCTCAGCTCCCTTGACGGGCTGGGCCAGGCTGCCCCAAAACAGAAAGGCTCGCCCCGTCTTCCTTCATGCCAGCGCCTAGCAGCCATTTGTAGGAACGTCGAAGGCAGGCACTGCTGACCTTGTACGGCATCTCCCCCGTGTGCGACACCATGTGCAGCCGCAGCTCCATTCGCCTCTTGAACACCTCCTGGCAGACCGAACATGTGAAAACCTGCAAGAGACAGGGGAGGCATCGGCTTCCGCAGAACCAAGAGTCCGACGCGAAGCCCGCAGTTCAGACCAGCGCTTGGCACTTGGGCGCTGGGACCTGGTTATGACATTTAACTCGCGCCCGCAGCGATCTGGATCTCTTATGGTACAAAGAGTATCCTTGTCGGCTTGAAAAAAACAGACAAAATGAGAGGTCTGGTAAATCAGACAAAAGTTTCTGCTGTCCTAATCCAAGAGAGGGACTGGGGGGAGGTCCCAGCTGTGGTACACATGCCGCACAGTAGTGATGAGGGGTTTTTGTTCAGTAGCCGAGTGTGATGTGGACTGTGGCTGGAAAAAGGCTCTAATTCTGCTCCTGCAAAACAGCACCCGCTTTCCAGACCACGGGTGGCAGCTTCCTGGGCATACCTGCTCAGATCGGTTCATACAATTTCTGGCTTCATGTTCCAGGAGATTCTCTTTTCTAAAATAACATTTGCCGCATTTGGAACATTCAAATGGCTTTTCTCCAGTGTGTTTCCTAGGAGGAATACAAACGGAGAGGATCCGTCACTGCCAGTCCGACAGCACAGATGCAAGAACAGGCCCGGTAAGGACACTGGGAAGGAACTGGGAAGGGAGAGGGAAGGACCAGGCAGCTTTTACACACCCTCCCAGCGCCAATATTCACAGTTGCCCAAAAGCCGCCTTTTACACCAGCTTTGCTGATCCCATCGGAGCACAGTCAAACTGTTTCTACCCGCTGCGCTCCACGAAACCTCAATTTTGCAGGGCTAAGGTTCGCCCCTTGCAGATGAGCGAAGCTGGAGCTTGTGCCCTCTCTGCAGGCACCTGCTTTGCTCTTGGTTATC